CTTCCTCTTTTTTCCTCTCCTTCACTCATTTTTTTTTCTTACCTTCTCTCAAAAAAAGAAAAGAGAAATCAACTTGTAAACCTCTAGATCTAGGTCGGCAATGTCTCTCTCATTGCTTGATTTCCTTCCTTCCCTTCCCTCCCTCCCTCCCTCCCTCCCTCCCTCCCCCCTTCCTCCCTTCCTTCCTTCCTTCTTCCCCTCCTTCCTCCCTCCCTTCCTCCTTCCCTCCCTTCCTGCCTTCCTCCAAAAACAAAAAAAAAAAAAAAAGAAGATACATCAACAGCCTACAAGCACATGTTCGAACATGAGTAATCAGGGAGATGCAAATTAAAATTACAATGAGAATACCACTTTACACACATTAGAATGGTTAAAATTAAAAAGAACATCCAGTGTTGGTTAGGATGAAAAACAGCTGGAACTCTCAGACATTGCTGGAGGGACTATACAATAGTACACTACTTTGGAAAACTATTTGTCAGTTTCTTTTTTTTTTTTTTTTGAGACAAGGTCTCTCACTCTGTTGCCCAGGCTAGAGTGCTGTGGCATGATCATACTGCAGCCTCGACCCCCTCAGCTCAAGCAGTCCTCCCACTTCAGCCTCCTGAGTAGCTGGGGCTACAGGTACACACCACCACACCTGGCTATTTTTTTTTTTTTTTAAGAGATGGGGTCTTGCCATGTTGCCCAAGCTGGTCTCATACTCCTGGGCTCAAGCAGTTTTCCCACATCAGCCTCTCAAAACCACATCAGAGATTATAGCCATGAGCCACCCACAGCCAGCCAACAGTTTCTTATAAAGTTAAATGTACATCTACTTTATCACCAAGCAAATGTATTCCTACATATTTACCCAAGAGAAATGAAAACATACGTCTACAAAAAGACTTGTACAAGAATGTTACTAGCAGCTTTATTCATAGTTGTCAAAAACTGGAAACAGACCAAATGTCCATCAGCAGAATAGATAAATAAATTATAGTACATTTATTCAATTGAATACTTCTTAGTATTAAAAAAGGACAAAATAATAGTACACTCAATGTAGAAGTCTCAGAAACAGGTTAAGCAAAAGAAGTGCATGTCTGCAGTGATAGAAATCAGAACAGTGGTTTCCTATTGAGGACTCACTGGAGGGGAACCTAACAAATTTCCGGAATGATAGAAATGTTCTATATTTTGATCACAGTGTTGCGTACATGAGTACATATATCTGTCAAAAGTTATCAAAGTATATAATTAAGATATTTGTAATTCACCATATATAAATTTTATTGTAATAATTTTTTAAATAGTTATTTTTTAAAGATAGCTGGAGTTTTTTCAATGGAAAACACTTTGAATTTAGAGTCAGAAGCTAGATTTCAAATTATGTATTTTTCTTTGAAAATTGAGTCAGTATTTTTCACAGTACTTTAAAGTTCTACAAGTACAGTGATTAAAACACATACACACTCACATCCACATGCTCATAAAACAAATGAAAAAGTTTTGCTTTAGCTACCAATATGAAATGAAAGGAGACACAGATTGTTTTGTTTTGTTTTGTTTTGTTTTGTTTTGTTTTGTTTTGTTTTGTTGGGAAAGGGTCTCACTCTGTCACCCAGGCTGGAGTACAGTGGCAAGATCATAGCTCACTGCAGCCTCGACCTCTTGAACCCAAGCGATCCTCCTGCCTTACCTCCTGAGTAACTAGGACTACAGAAGCACACCATCATACTTGGCTAATTTTTTTCTATTTTTTGTAAAGATAGTGTCTCACTATGTTGCCCAGGCTGGTCTGGAACTCCTGGACTCAAGCCATCCTCCCACCTCAGCCTCCCAAAGTGTTGGGATTACAGATGTGTGCCACCATGCTCAACTGAGATACTAATTTGTTACCACACTGAAGGAAAGATAACTCAGATGTTATGTGAAGCTTTTGTGAACAAAGATATTGTCTGATATGAGTCTTCTTTTTCACTTTGAACAATTCCTATATATACCAGGAATAGAATCTCATGTGCTAAGATTCAATTCTGACTTCAGTATTAGCTATTGTCTCTTCTTTTGCAGTCTCTAATTCTTACTTCTCTCAGACACCTAGGTAGAGTCTTAGAATGGAACTACTAAGGAAGGAAGTTCACGTATTGTTAGGTACACATTTAAATGGAGGCAGTGGGGAATCCCTGGTGAATGTATATTTACAAGGGATAAAAATAAGGATTTTAAAGGGCTTGGGAAGCCTTTTTTGTGACTTGTCACCTAGAGCAGTGGCTCCTAAGCACCAGTCCATTTAAAGTTTTTAGTTAGTCCATGATGAAATAAGAAAATAGCAACAGCTCAGAATTTGTATTGATGTAGATATAATGTAGTTTTCCATACATACGTATCCAAAGATTAGATAATGTCCCTCCTACTTTTTTAATGTTAAAATACTTTTTATTCTATGAAATAATGGTGATCATGGATGGTAATTATATTTTACATGTTCTTACATGGCAAAATATGAAGTAGCAATCCTTTATTAGTCCCCAATTTATTTTTATTTGTAAAAATTTTTAAGCTACTGATTTAAAGTACTACTCTAATCTACAGAAGTTTGAATGAGTGAACATACTGAAGCATTCTTGTAGGCTGGTTGCATTTGAAAGACAAAATCTAAAGATCATTAATATCTTACCTCTTAAATTTACAATTGAGAAACCTTATTTAGCAAAGGAAAATGAATTATTTTAGGAACAGTTCTCACTGTTTTGCAGTATTAGTAGCATTAGGAAATTATTTGCATTTATTGTTCTGAATCCTAAAAACTGTGATATTTTTAGATATGCCCTCCTTCCTCAATGATGAAATGTTTTTTGATGCCTACATTAGTAGGTGACTTATAAGTAATTCCTTCAAAACAGGGAAAATCTCAAAAAAAATAATAACCAGAATTTAGAAGAATTAGTTTTATTAAGGGAAAAGGCAAGTACTCCCTTTTAAAAATAAGAAATGATACATTACTCATGAGATTAATCTAAGAATTTATGCAAATGGAAATGTAGTTTTATTAGAAAATGAATTATTCATCCATTAAAATGTCTAGACCATAATTTAGTACACATTACTGATCTTCATGCATGAGAATGTGTTTGCAGTGACTTCCCAAATCTCAACAGATGCATTATCATCAGCTGTTTTCTCTACTTGAAGGTCGTGACTTTCTTATGAATGAACCTGGTTGAAGTGATTAAAGTAGGTATAATTGAAGGGTGGGGACAGTGGTGCGTTGGTAAATTTTTAACAGCCACCTGGGAGAGGAGGGCTGATCTGTAATATTTGCCAGTTTTTATTATGAAAATATTCCCACCCTAGACAATTTCAAGCTACCAGCTGTTTAACAAGCAGAATTTGAAAATATTGCAGTGGGCTCTTCTGAACCAGTGCAGGGATAGATAGCTCCAGCACACTGAGTGATACTAGCTGATGGTACTTAGCGAGGCAGAATGCTACTAGAAAATTCCTCTGTGGAAATTAAAGGCACAGTTAAGCTTAAGGGAACCAGAGCCTTCAAAATCAAGAACATAGCAGACCCCATGTGTTGTTTGGGTAAATCCTAGTTAGTTCCAAGCAACTCCTTTTTCTTCCTTAATACTTTGCACTCCCTAGAGGAATTTCATGTTTTCTTAGTGCTTCATCATCTAGAATACCACTGCATTAGTAGTGATTGTTAATAGAACTGGAATCCATAGTTCATTTTGCTCCCTAAAAACCTGGCAGATGAAAGTAATTATTAAAACTTCATAAATTGAGAACTGTCTCACAGTATTTTGGATATTGAAATTAAGTCTCTTTTACAAAGTTTATGGTTTAGGAGAAAACTAATAAAGACTTATTAATCATTGCAAAATACCTATATATTATCAAATATGAAAACAAAATAGCATGTTCAGTTTCAATTGGTCTTGACTTTTAAAGGCAAAAGAGCCAGTTTTGTACACAGGGCCACAGACATTTTTTTCTGTCCTTAGCTTCATCTTCTTTTTCCTCCTCAGATAAAACCTGTTTCTCACTCCAGGTATCTGATGATTGCTGCCCTCTTCCCTCTGCTTTCCCCGCTTCAGAGCCTGTGAGGTCCTGCTAACTAATAAGTTCTACTTGTTACTCGCAATTCACTTAGACTAAAATGTTCTTTCAGTGTGGAGATGCTTAAATCTCTAATTGTTTAATCAAGAATCAGTAAGCATTTAGTGAGTGCAAAAGCCTGAAATCTTACCAACCTGCTCCTTCAGCATAGCCCTAAGGTTAAACTGATTTTGTCAGTATAGGATCATGTGGAGTCCAAGAGAGAACTGGATACAAACATAGCTGATGTTTGTCTTTTCCTGCTTGACTCCTCTACCTTTGGGAAGATCACAGCAAGGGACTGGTCTTGTTGCGGCTGCATTAGGTATAGTCTAGGAAGCTACTAGGGTGTTGGGATCTAGCCCACATCGTTCAGCTCTGTCTAATGCCTGGGATTCCTTTTTCTCTGTTCCTCTGTCTCTTCCTTCCCACTGCATGTTCACATGCAGTCCTATATACTGCTTCAGACTTTACATAAACCTTTTTGGGGACATTCCCAAAAGAACATATGATACCATTCTCTTTAATGCTATCAAATAGGAAAAAAAAAACAAAAAAACAGAACACATTCTACTCAGCTTTTTTATGTGCAAGAGAAAAATAACTTCTCATGCAAATTTTCTTAACTCCAATACTCAGGCTGTCTCACAACTATTAATATGGATATTTCTGAAAATGGTGATATATATACTAATATGTGACAAAAGCTTTCACACTTGATTAAAAGCAAAATGAATTTACTAAGTGTATTTTTCCATGCCTTTAGAATAAATTATGTACCCTGAGCATTCACTAAACACATGCAAGCCTTTTCTAATGTTTTGTTCCAAAGAGATATGTGACCAAAGATCCAATAAGAACTCATTTATCCACTTGGTAATTATTAAGTAATTTGTTTCTTTCTATCTCAGAGAGAAAAATCCCAGATGAAGATTTCATCATTTTAATTGATGGATTAAATGAAGCAGAATTTCACAAACCGGATTATGGGGATACAATTGTATCGTTTCTGAGTAAAATGATTGGAAAGTTTCCTTCTTGGCTCAAACTAATTGTAACAGTTAGGACCAGTTTACAGGTATGTGTTTGTTTGCTTTTAAACTAAATTACTCCTCTTGGAAAGAGCTTAGACTGAAAAATTCTAGGTCCTAGTTCCCTAAACCTCTACTATGTCCTAGAGCCTTAGGAAGAATAATTCCCAAAGAATTGATGTAATATTTTGAGAGATATGATCTAGAAAGAACATTTTTTGTATATGATTCTGAGTCCCATTCCTGTGGCTCTGGATGAGGTTTGATAAAATGTCCCTCAAAATAGCATGAAAAGAAAATCAATTTTTCCAGACTGTTCTGGCGACAGCAGTGTAAAGACAATCTCTAACACTTGGACTTTTGTTTAACATTTTTTAATCATTTAATGCTCTGCAAAGTTCAGTTCAGTCTACACCGGAGAATCAGATTTTCTGGTTCCTCTCTCTGCTCCTACTTAAAACAACTCTTCTGTAGCATGAAGACGGACTTTCTTCTCTATCCGCCCTCCTCTAACAAAAATTGGCAATATTAGGGCTTCAGATTAAATTTACTACAACTGGGAGATAATTTGTTTTGTTTTGTTTTTTCTAATTACTTTCCCTGCTCACTCACTGGTCACTTAATGGCCTGGAAGAAGGACCAGGAATGTGAGACTGAGCCTGTAAAAATATATGGGCTAAAGATAAATGACTATACTTTCCCCAACATTCTCATTGTAGCTGAGTCAGTATCCCATTCTGTACATATTCACACTTGGTTTGGAAAAATGTTTCTCATTATTTTTATAAAAATCATTCCCTCCTCTGACAAATATTAGAATCTCAAATGTTATACACTCATCTCACTATTTGGATGCAGCCCCCCCTTGTCATAAGTGTTAATATACAGAAAATAGTCTGCACATTTAAGTCCCTCCTTTCCCCCACCAGGCACTTAGCATTATTCCTATATATTGGCCAATTAACATCACTGTCTTCCATGATGAGAAACTATATTTCTAATCCTGGCCTTATAGATGTTTATTGTTAATTTCAAAGTAATTTGAGCTAAGGATAAAGGATATGGATAAATCAATATAAATCCATCTTTATAACTAAAAAGTATATAACCTATCATTTTTAGTAGCTTGATTGCTAAAAATGAAAGACGAATTAAAGAAGCCTCCAGGAATGCAATCTCTGACTACTTGACCAAATGTATGCTACGTATTCTCACATAATATTGTGGGTAGTCTCAAAAGAAATTTTAAGTGTTTCTGGATAGAGTTAGGTGACCAATTTTTCAACTATGCCAACAGAAAAAGTACTTCAACTAAGAATTTTAAAAAATTATTTCATTTCTGACAGTAAAAGAATTCATAGGTTTTAGAAAATGAGCCTTCATTTATATTTGATCATCATTATTTCCACAAACATGTCTTAAGTCTTTAGAGTATTTCAGGGACTGTTCTAGGGGCTGGAGATTCAAAATGAACAAGACAGGCAATATGCCCATCCTTCCTCCTAAAGCTTATATTTTAGTAAGAAACACACCAAAAAATAGGCAAAACAATATATACTCAAATTATAGGTAGTGTCACATGCTATGAAGAAAAACAAAATGGGGAGAAGGGATAACTGGATAGTAGTTGTTTTAGATAGGATATACAGGAAAGTCCTCTCCTTTAAAAGTGATAAAATCTTATCTGTCTTTTTAAAAGATCTCTGTCAGTGGCTATCTACATAATAAAATGTAGGGAATAAAGAGTCAAAGCAGAAGTATAGGTGAAAGGTAATGGTGGCTTAGACTAGAGTGGTAATGATGGAGACCACATGAAATGGTCATATTTCGATGGACTGCACTTTGAAGGAGAATCAAAGGACTTGATGATGGGCTGAATGTGGGAATGAGCAAGAGAGAAGACTCCAGAATAAATTCTGGGTTTTTTTGTGAGCAAATGGGTGAATGATGATTTGAGGACAATAGAAAGATCACAGAGATCCTCTAGGGTCTGGTGGTAGGGTCAGTGGTAATGCTATTTATTGACATGGGGTGAGTTTTGTGGTGGGGGACAAAATTAAGTAGTTATGACTTAGTCACATTGTCTATGAAATACCCAAATGTAAATGTTGAGTAGACAGAGATATAAGATGGGCCTCAGGGGAGATGACTAGGCTAGAAACATAAAGTTAGGCATGAGCCACATATAGATGATATTTAGAACCGTGGGACTAAAGAATCTATTGATGGGAGTGAGAATGGCTAGAGAAGAGGAAAGAACAGAGCCCAGAGCCCTGAGTGAGCTGGGAAATAAAAAAGGAGCCAGCAAAAAAGGAAGGGTAAGAATGGCTGGTGTGCTAAGAGAGAAAAGAGCATTATTTCTCTGGGAGCAAGCTGCAGAACTTGACTCCAAAACAAGTGCAGAGAGGTGAGATGCATTGTGTCAAACACTGCTGAGAGGTTGAGGAAGATGACAACTGGAACTCTGTTATTGGATTTGACAAAGTGAAAGTTACTGATGCCCTTGACAAAAACCATTTCAGTGAGAGTGGTGGGGGTGCAGCCTGATTGGAACAAATGGAGGAGAGAATGGGAAGGAAAAAATTATAAATAGCAAATAGAGAAAACGTTTGCTAAAAATGGGAAGAGAGATACAGGGTAGTAGCTGGAAGGAATAATACGGAGTTTGTCTGTGTGACCCAACTGAGAAGGTCAGGATGCAGGAGAGACAATGGGTACTCACAGGAGCAAAGTCCATAAGTAGGTAAGAAAGGATGGAATTCAGTGCATGGGAGTAGCCACAAAGCCGTATCATTTTCCCCCAATAGCACTTTACAACAGATTACCAAGGTGCCAAGCTTCCTACTATTAGAAGTGTTCATTTCATCTACAGTATCTCCAGAAGGCCTGCATTTATATGTAGTCATTTTATACATCTGTGTTGTATGGGAATTTTTTTAATAGTCATTTTATTAGGAGGCTTAGAAAGCCACATTTTTCTAAGACATTCTTTGAATCCTATACATTTGTTACTGATTTGTACTTAGCATTATGCCCTGGTTTACACTGAGAAAAATCACAACAAAAGAGTTATACAGCACTCTGTTTTCTGTTTTATTTCAGGAGTGTTGTTTAGAATAATGATCATGAAATCACTTGTAAAGCACCCTTTACAAAAACCCATTAAAAAATTATCATAAGCCTCAATATTAGGAGAAGTCATGTCCCTTCTATGCAACTAATTTGTTTTACTTTATGGATACTAATACTTGATCATGTTTCCCTCTGACCATTTCAAAGTTCAGAATAAATTTGTGTGAACCTCATAGTTTATCACAAGAGTTAGGGGAAACTGAAGGTCTTTCTGTCTCTTTCTCTCTCTCCATCTGTTTTAGGAAATTACCAAGCTGCTGCCTTTCCATAGGATTTTTTTGGATCGACTAGAAGAGAATGAAGCCATAGACCAGGACCTGCAGGCTTACATCCTGCACCGGATACACAGCAGCTCAGAGATCCAGAATAACATTTCACTAAATGGCAAAATGGACAATACTACATTTGGCAAACTCAGTTCTCATCTCAAGACCCTCAGTCAAGGGTCCTATCTATATCTGAAACTCACATTTGACCTCATAGAGAAAGGCTATCTAGTGTTAAAGAGCTCTAGCTACAAAGTAGTTCCAGTTTCACTCTCAGAGGTTTATTTACTCCAATGCAATATGAAGTTCCCAACCCAGTCTTCCTTTGACCGGGTGATGCCTCTCCTGAATGTGGCAGTGGCCTCTCTCCACCCACTGACTGATGAGCATATCTTCCAGGCCATCAATGCTGGGAGCATTGAAGGCACACTAGAATGGGAGGATTTTCAGCAGAGAATGGAGAACCTCTCCATGTTCCTAATCAAGCGCAGAGACATGACTCGCATGTTTGTACATCCTTCTTTTCGAGAATGGCTTATCTGGAGAGAAGAAGGAGAGAAAACCAAATTTCTCTGTGATCCCAGGTAAGACATAGATCTGTGATATGTAATTCGGGGTCTATTTTCTGTTCATTGCATGGAGTATGAGTATTGAAAGCAGAAGTGTTCTTCACTGAACATTTCACATAGAAAAGACATCATCTCTGTTTCTTCTCAAGGCAAGGCTATAATGAGGTTAACTAATTTATTGTTTCACAGTGTTATTTCCTTAAGAGTCAGCATCTGCATAGATATTTAGAATGCTACCCTACATTCCTGTGTTTTTTTAAATAATTTTCACTGACCACACAGGGTTCGCAGGCTTTAATTAAGTTAGCCATTTAATTGACTTCCTCAGTATTATTATTCTGATATGAAGAAAGAATTTATATACTGTTCATCTCTTTGACCTAGAGCAGAATCATTTCAAAATTTCAAAACTTTTATTGCCCTTTTCAAAACATTATTATTAAGTTTCCAATGACTAAATCCATTAAAGTCCAGTCAGTGCTAAGCTTCATACTGGAAAATAGAATTTTAAACCTTATAGCTGAAAAAGATTTAAAGAGATCAGCTGGTCTGTCCATGCTGACTTTAGATAAATAAGGTGTCATTATCCTTATTTTGCTATAAAGGCCTTAAGATGCTGGATCATAAACTTGCACAGTCATAAAGTTAATATGTGGGAGGGAGGAGGCATATGCTAGAATAGGGATGGCAAGTGCATGGTATATACCACCACTTCCCATCCCACATGCATGGCAGGATCACTGACCTACTCCAGCACCCTCCCAGTGAGCTTGAACCTGACTTGAGAATCTTTCCCACCTCAAACCAGACTAGATATGAAACTGTTTCCCTTTTTATTGCATAAAACCTAGTTCTCTGGCATCCTGGTGGGGTATGCTTTTTACTCCTTCATACTAACATTTTTAAAGAAGTATTCCTTTAATAAAGTCGGTGTTTTCAGAAGCCAGTATTACTGACGTTGCAGAAACGAAGACACCAACAACATAGCTGGCAAATGCAGAGCTTATTTTGGCTCAAAAAGAAGAGGCCAGATTTGACTATGCCTCACATGTGACTCATCAGAAAGAATAAAACTCTGTGTTCATGCTGGGGTTTTATTGTCCTTTACCGTGTCCTTCACCAGGCCTTATTAGAGACAGCTGAACTGTGGGCATGCTGCTCAGCTTACTCCATGCTGATTCACCAGAAAATTAGTTCCAGATTATGATGAAGATATTAAGCCAGGAAATAGACTTTGTAGTATTTTCCCTGAGAGGGAAACTTTTTAAAGAAACATGCTGTAGTGAAAAGAACATAATCTCTTGAGTCAAATTACCTGCATATAAATCCTGACTCTTCTAGGAACTGTGACCTCTGGAAAAAGTTGCATAGTGTTACTAAGACTTAGTTTTCTTATCTACATAAGAGCAATAATAATGCCTTTTTTCTAGAGTTGTTGAGAAGTTAAGTGAGGTCATATAATATTATGCCTAGAAGAGTACCAAGTACAAATAAGCATTCAGGGTATGTTCTTTTTCTTTGCCTCCCTCTACAGTAATAGACCCTTCCGGTGTACCTTAGTTAAGTCCTGTGGCTAATTGGATAGCAACAGCAATCTTCTGCTATTATCATTTTGGAGCACAATATTTTAAAAAGAAACAAAAACAGTCTGAGTCGCTTCTGTGAATTGTATGATGTTCCCAAAAGGATTTTACCATAAATCCTACTAGTACTGTTGTCAATATGTAATATGTAGAACTGGCAGCTACCTATATAGGAAAAATAAACTAATCTAGAATTACCTAATAAACACTTTGAGATAAGTTCCCAGAGAAACTTTGCTAGCTGGTCTGGGACCTTAGATCCTGGGACATCACAGAGGATTGAAAGCTGAGGTCCAAGGCAACCAGAATACCACTGAATTAATAGTATCCTTACAACAGATGACATCCTCAGGGGCTCTCAGAGGAGGAAATATGGCTTTATACAGCCATGTCATGACTATGCAGGCTTGCCTTCTTAACATTGTCTATTAACTAGGAGTTTTGCAGCAACTGGCTGATGCACTGGGACAAGAGGAGCAGTTACTTCCAACTTCAAATCCTGTATACTCTGTTCCTTTGTGATTGAATAACATGGCTGCTGAGAGATCATCCTATTTCTTTTAATGGCAGAGAGTAAAATTGTAAACAGGATAAGAAGTTATCAAAAAAAGCTTTCTTAGATTTCATTTCAGTTGGAATTCAGCCGCCTCCCCAGCATTGGCTGGCACCAACCTTGTTACGAAGTACTGAAGTGTTGATCTCAGTGCTTAAGACTCCCTAGGTCAATGAGATGGAAATTCACTAAGAATTTAATGCTGTTGGCAAAGCCCAAGCTGGTCTTTCAAAGAAGCTGGCTGCAGTTGTTTTCCATTTCTGGCAGATCTGGTTAGCAGTACTCTCTCCAGGCAGGGTTTGTCTTTATGGCCTTCAGCCTCCACTTCTTGCACATGGTTTTCCCTTCTGTTCTCCACTTTCTCTTCAACTTGTCTCTAAAGCATCTAATGTGTTTTAGTAGATCAAGGAAAACAAGTTCATGCCTCTAAAATCACACCAGGTAAGGCAGTGCCTGATGTGTATCTCTGCAATGTAAGGAGAAATTCAGAGGCAACACAATATCATTGTCCCTTCTAGTCCATTTTCCTGGGCTTTCAAAACTCAGTTGTTTACTCTGAACTTGTTGACCTTATTGGGAAGTTAGACATAGATGCAGATATTCTACTGATGCCAAAAAGTGGTTGATCTTCAAAAATAGGCTACCCAATGAGGTAGCTTCTGCCTGAACTGAAAAGAGTCAGTAATTTGAGGATGGTGCTGGAAGCAGGAAATAGCAGAGCCAGAGGTTAATGCTACAGCTGAGATTGAGTTTTCGTTATTTTGAATACCAAACTGCCTATTGTCTCTGAATCTTGGCAAGGATTTGACCTATCAGAGAGAATGACGTCATCTTACACAGACATATCATTGTCATAGAAATAAATGAGTAACAAGGTAAGGGGTGTGTGTGTGTGTGTGAGAGAGAGAGATAGAGAGAGAGAGAAACTGTAAGCAGAGTATCACTGAAGAATCTTTTAGATTTGCAATTTAGGTAAAATATGCCTCTGGAAGCAATCACAAACCTTAGACCACACCAACTCGTTCTGCTCTCTGCCACTGTTCATCACTGTCAGCCTTCTTCCATACCCCAAACTTAAATCTGTCTTATGTTTTATTCCCTTGGGCACTGAGATATCACATTATCTCACTAACTTAATAAATGAATTCCTGCTATTATGCGAATTTAAAATAAGACATTTGAGAGAAATAGTCATCAGCCGTTGTTATGCAACCTTTTAGTGACTCTGATAGTAGAAATTTAAGGCTGATAGACAGTCGGGGGCTGCCCGCCTTGTGGTGCTGTCCAGTTACTGCTTGATATTTCTACATCACTTTAGCCTCACCCAGAATAAATCACCACTCTGTTCTGTTTCCATTCCTCATTATCTCAATTCTCATAGTATCTAGCTTTCCATTCCATAGGAACAGCTCTCCAGATTTTTATTTATTTTTTTATTTGTGTGTGTGTGTGTGTGTGTGTGTGTGTGTGTGTGTAAGATTTTGACATAGAGATTAAAAGACTCTACTGCCTTATTATGTTTGTATTTTTGTGGGGTTTTTTGTTTTTTTTTTTGAGACAATCACTCAGGCTGGAGTGCAGTGGTGCAGTCATGGCTCACTGAAGTCTCAACCTCCTGGGCTCTGGCAGTCCTCATGCCTTAGCCTCCTGAGTAGCTGTGACCACAGACACATGGCACCATGCCTGACTAATTTTTTTTATTATTTTTAGAGGCAGGGTCTTTTTTTTTTTTTTTTTTTTTTTGAGATGGAGTTTTGTTCTTGTTGCCCAGGCTGGAGTATAATGGTGCAATCTCAGCTCACTGCAACCTCCACCTCCTGGGTTCAAGCAGTTCTTCTGCCTCAGCCTCCCAAGTAGCTGGGCTTACAGGCATGTACCACTACCCATGGCTAATTTTGCATTTTTAGTAGAGACGTTTCTCGATGTTCCCCAGGCTGGTGTCAAACTCAGGTTCAAGTGACCCACCTACCTTGTCCTCCTAAAGTTCTGAGATTACAAGGATGAGCCACTGCACCTAGTGTTTTGGGATTTTTTTGTTTGTTTTTCTGTTTTTTTTTTCTCAAGACAAAGTCTCACTCTTGTCCAGGCTGAAGTGAAATGGCACCATCTCTGCTGACTGTAACCTCTGCCTCCCAGGTTAACGGAATTCTCCTGCCTCAGTCTCCCGAGTACCTGTGATTACAGGTGCCTCCCATCACACTCAGCTAACTTTTTTTTTTTTTTTAAGTAGAGACAGGGTTTCACCATGTTCAAGCCAGGCTGGTCTCAAACTCATGACCTCAGGTGAACTGCCTACCTTGGCCTCCCAGAGTGCTGGGATTACTGGCGCAAGCCACCACTCCTGGCCCACCCAGCCTTCTTTTTAAATGTTTGAATAAGACACAGGAAGCTTGTTTTGAACTTCATATAATGAGTATTGAGTTGATACAACCTAATGAGGTTGTGATATGGGAGCCTAATTTGGTTTGACTTGATTTCCTCAAATTAAAGGCAGCAAATCCTATGATGAACGGAAGGTAAAAGGCAACACAAATCCTACTTATACCATCGGATAGTTGAGCACTTACTTGATTCTTTATGACTAGAGTTGATTGCTTATAATAATGGTTTGTTGAGATTTTTTCTAACTAACTTATTTGACCATGTTAGTAAGTGAATTACACATTGGAGACCTGATGCTCCAAAATCCATGCCGCAAAGCAGACTGTCAGAGAAGACGCAGTTTGTCTAAGGAAAAAAGAGAGGGCGTCCTCCCCAAAATGAAAAATAACTGTGCCAGAGGTCTGCATAACAGGGCTTCTTACAGAATAGATGGGTCTGAAATGACCACAAAATCAATGGTGAGTTGAGGTTTGTGTTCATTTTTTTAATCCAAACAT